CCGGGGGGGCAAGCCCGGCCCCCCCCCCCCCCTCCAGAAGGACAGTGTCAGAGATGATTGGAGGATCTCCAGCCGAGTGACACACAAATAAGATACCTTGTTGTTACTAGTTAAGGTTCTTGAATGTATTTTGAAGATTTATCTCCTGAGTTTTGTGTCACTTTAAACAGATATTATCTGCAGTAAAGTAACCATTTTACATGATATTAAAGTGATACTTTTGTTACATTAAAGGAGAACTATGAGGCAAGTGAAAATCGCTCATCTTCATAGTTGGAGCCGACGTGTGACAATGAAACTGTCACAAGTCGGCTCAATAGATCGGGAAGTGAGAGAACACATACCGTCGCTCGCTCACTTCTCGATTATCTCCCTGCAGAGAGCCGTGACTGTCACTCACCGCAGGGATCCATCCCAGCTCCAATCCTCCAGCGCTGACTGGCGGAACGGACGGGGGAGGGGGCGGGTACAGCTGGCTCCGCCTCTAGATAGGCAGAGCCAGCTGTCACTCACGCAGCTGGGTGGATGCAGACAGCATTGTCGGGATCCGTCCCGGCTGCGGCGGTCTCAGTATACCGCCAGCTGTAGCTCCCTATATACTGAGCTTTGGAAAAAAAATACAAAAAAGGTCACAAGCACTCCAGCATGTAGAAAAGTCAATGTTTATTGACTTCACAGGTGTCACATAATCAGACTTCATCAGATCTTTATACTGAGCTTTGGGTGACGGGAGGAGCTTAGTATATGTCCTCCTGTGACCCTTAAGAGAACTATGGGGAAAAACACTGACCCCCATCCCATAGTTCTTTTTTAACTCTTGCAGCCGACTGAATGGAACCAACGAGCAGCTTGTCAATTTACTGAACGGCTCATTTATTTTCTACGCTGTTCATTCCTTTACTACACGGCTCATGCTGTTTATTCATTTGATACATAGCTGATTTTATCTAATAAACGACTCATTCTTTTATAAAACTGTTAATTCATTTAATTGAAAGCAAATTTACTTACTAAACAGCTCATTCATTTAATATACAGTTTGTGTATTTCACACACTGCTCATTAATTTATTACACGCTCCACTCCTTTACTAGACGGCTCATCCGTTTACTTAACAGCTCGTTCATTCGCTAGGCAGCTCATTCATTTAGTAAGCAGCTCATTTATTTAATAAAGAGCACATTCATGTCATAAATTGAGGCGAGGAAGGAGATTGAACAACTATTTAATCTTCTGGTAGATGGATCCAAGTGTCTACTACTCAACAGAACACAGAACTTTTTCCACTTTGCTTCCGAGTTTCCCTTCAGCCAGTCGTCCCGAAAATTCATTAATTCTGCAGATTTCTCGTCTTTTTGTCGTTTTGCTCCGGACCCCGGAGGCCCATTCCAGGATTATAAATATGCTTTGCAGAAAGTCCAACATTTATTGATTTCTTTGCGCCTCTAGAATCATTATCGGCCTGACAGCTTTTTATCATGAGTAACTTGAGTAGTTTTGGCATGGGCCGCCTCCCAATAAAACAGTTTTATCCGAAATTGTCTAATGCATCTGAAG